ACAATTTTTACAGGTTGTTCCAGGTATTTTCTGTATATTATTTTAACTATCCACACAACACTACAATACTGGCTGGTACCCTGCATCATAAAATATGGAACTAAGAAATAAAGTATTAAGATGAAGAAATTCTACCTTACCTAAAGTTGCTGAATCAAGCTATAGCCTGATGATACTGAAAGATAAGCCATGACATGCTGTGTTGAATGAAGTCCTTTTTAAAAAATTTGATACCTAAAGTGAGACCTAAGCAATAAAGTATGTCCATGCTTTATAAAAATGAATGCCAAAGTAGCTACAGTTAAATAAAATTTGTGACTATAATTATGATAATCAAGTATTTAGTGATTTAACTCAATACTAAAAATCCTATTATTTTGATTTATTAATTTGTTTGCTGTCCATGTTGCCCAAGCGAACTCTGGGTGGCTTACAACATTAACAACAATAAAACCATAAAAATATTTCTAACAACAATAAAATATAAATTATAATTGCAAGATGGGGAGGAGAGAGCAGAATAGGTGGGGGAATGAGATCTTCTATTGGTGCATCAACCCCCTCCTCTATGATACTCTTTCCTTGGACCTTATGGAAGGTCAGAGGGATGGGAGCGGATTACATCCAGGGGGGAGGGGGAGATGTTCCAAAAGATAAGAGCCCTGGTAGAGAAGGCTGTCCTCCTGGACCCTGCCCACTGGAATTCCTTGACTGATGCGGTCTGCAGCATGTCTCTTCTGCTGGCATGACTGGGCAGGGCAGTCCCATTGGGGTGAGATGATTCCTCAGGTAGCCTGAACCCACACCATGCAAGGCTTTTAAAGGTGATAACCGATACTTTGAATTGCACTTGGAAGCAAACCAGCAGCCAGTGCAACTTGCACAACGGTGTAACATGGACGACTCTAGGGTCCTCAGGGACTGCTCGGACCTCCGCATTGTGCACCAGATACAGATAATCAGAGTTGAAAGGGACCTTGTAGGTCATCTAGTCCAACCCCCTGCCCAAGCGGGAGACCCTACACCATTTCTGAAAAATGGCAGTCCAATCTCTTCTTGAAGGTCTCAACTGATGGTGCTCCCACAACTTCCAAGGGCAAGCTGTTCCATTGGTTGATTGTTCTCACTGTCAGAAAGTTTCTCCTTGTTTCCAGGTTAAATCTCTCCTTGTTCAGTTTCCATCCATTATTCCTTGTCTGGCCTACAGGAGCTTTAGAAAATAGCTTGACCCCTTCCTCCCTGTGGCAGTCCCTCAAATATTGGAAGACCGCTATCATGTCTCCCCTGGTCCTTCTCTTTACTAGACTAGCCAAACCCAGTTCCTGCAACCGTTCGTTGTATGTTTTAGCCTCCAGTCCCCTAATCACCCTGATTGCTCTTCTCTGTACTTTTTCTAGAGTCTCAACATCTTTTTTATAATGTGGTGACCAAAACTGGATGCAGTACTCTAGGTGTGGTCTTACTAAGGCTTTATAGAGTGGTATTAGTACTTCCCTTGATCTTGATTGTATCCCTCTGTTAATACAATTTAGGATTGCATTAGCTTTTTTGGCTGCTGCTGCACACTGCTGGCTCATATTTAGCTGGTTGTCCACTAAGACTCCAAGATCCCTCTCACAGTTACTGCTATTGAGCCTGGTTTCACCCAGTCTATATGTGTACTTTTGGTTTTTCTTGCCTAAGTGTAGGACTTTACTTTTCTCTATGTTGAATTTCATTTTTTTTCCAATTGAAGCTTCTGAATGCTCTTTAAGGGTAATCCTATGCAGAGCACATTACAGTAGTCCAGGTGTAACATGATCATGGATTGAATGATTGAGAGCAGGGTCTCCTGACCCAAGGAGCATAACTGGTGTACAACACAGTTATTATTTTTAAACAACTTATAATAAGCAAGTTTGAAGTTAATAGTTTGGGATAGGGCAGGGGAAGATTAGCTCTGATGATGGTTACCAGGAGGTCACATAATGCATGTGAAATGGGTCAGGGTTTTCTGCTTCATTCGTGGTGGAGGATAGGATTTTTTAGTTTAAGGCATTTTTTTTTTGAGATCACTTCAATTGAAGAATTTGCATTCACTTTTCCATTTAGGGTCTCAAACACCCAGGTTTATATTGTTTAGGGCAGAGGTCTCCAAACTTGGCAACTTTAAGACTTGTGGACTTCAACTTCCAGAATTCCTCAGCCAGCAGACCTTGTTTGGGGACCCCTGGTTTAGGGTCATGACATGACATGTACTATCAGATACAAAGCTTTAGAAACCTGTTCAAAAATTACATACATTCACAAATTATGTTATAAATGAAATCTTTATTATTTATTATTCTTACATTTTCAGGTTTGGATATTTCAAGTTTATAATCAAGTGGAATGATGGAAAAGATAACTCAAAGCCAAGAGTTGGTTCCACACGTGAATTGTGAAGTAAACACAAATCATACTAATGATTTTTACTAGGTGTATTGAGCAATTTAGGCTGTAACACTAATAGTGGCATTTAAAAGTACAATTTTTTATTTTATTCTCGCTTCTGGATTTACCTCATAACATTATTTGATTTTGACAACTGAATAATTTTCATTTTCAGTTGTCTGCCTGAAATGGGAGCAAAATTGGAGTTTGTTGCATAGTAAAATTGCTGTTTTCCATTGGTGGGAACTATTGATTCACTTCATCAGTTTTGTTATTGTGTTCCTTTGGAACAGCCTGCCCCTGAAAAGACCAAGCTCTAGCCTTATGGCCTTGTAGAAGAGGGTTTCTCAGCTTTGACAACTTTCATATGTACGGTAGATTTTAAATCCCCAAATTCCCAGCCAATATAGATAGGGAATTCTGGGAGTTGGTCTATATAAAGTTAAGTTGAGAAACACTGTTTTAGAGAACGCTGTAGTTAAAGTCTTGTTTTTCTGGAAAGTTTTTGAATGATTAAACGGGTAAAGGAAGTGCCATATCTTTATTGCCTGCATTGCTTACAGCTTTTTTTATCAGTTTGATTTTGGACACTGCCTAAACCCTGGCATGACATCATTTATAAATCTTGAAAAATACATTTTTTCCTGGTGTACGTCTGAAGGCATGGTTTAAAATGTATCTCCTTTTTCTTTCCCTGCAACACTACATAACTATACAATTATAGCTACCGGGAAAAGTGCCTAGTTGCAAAAATGTTGACATGCAATCTTTTCATAATCATATCTCACATATATAGAGAGGGTCAGGATTTCTACTTACTTTTAAGTAAGGACTTTAAGTTTTGAGGTTTTTTTTTTAAATATAATGTTAACTTGTTTTTGAATATTTACTGCTTCAAAATTACAGGAAATCATGCTGAGAAGTTTCTAGTTACCATTGAGGGTTCCAGGGACAGCAATAAAGGATTCTACCATACGATACATTGCTCTAACTTAAATAATGATCGTACTGTGCCTTTCTGGAAAACCATCTTGGTTGCACTATTCATCCCCTGCCTCCTTTTTGAGCAGAACACAAGATTTTTTTTAAAATATTGTATGAGCTAAATCAATTATATAGGCTGCCTTTCCAAGTTGTCAGAGTGCACACTAGGGATTTACATCTTTGAAAATTATCCTGTTATCTTAGCAATGGAATCACATTTCTTTCTTACTGTGTACCAGGAAGGACAAATCCATTTTCTAAAAGAAAGAAAATACCACAGTGGGTATTTGGAAGACTTGGTTAGACATCTCAAATCATAACTGAGATTTAACTCACCCCCTTCTTTACATGCGTTGTAAAATCACACATAGCAGGACAATGATGGCAAGTAACTTAAAGGCAAAGTGGCAGTGAAATATAATTATACAAGCACATTTTAATAATAGTTGATAATAACTTTTGCAAGGGACACACTACAGGCAAGTAGAAGAGACATGTCAGGGTTCTAGGGATTAAAAAACTACTGCCAGACTATAGCTAATGGCCTGCTATACCAACAAACTGCTGAACTGTGACAAGATTAATTTGTTTTTGCCATAGCATGTGATAAGAACCCAACTAATTGCAGTTTATTCAATAAGGCTGATATGGACACAAGTACTTGGCACCACCACCAGTTTAGAGAAAAGCCCCAGAAAATAGGAGGCATAGATTCTGCCCAAAGGAATACCAAGGCCTGAAAGCATGCCTTTGCCAGCACATGCCCACTGAATCACGATCTTTGTCCCAATTTCAACTTCTTGAAAATATAAGAAGCCTGCCCTCCATGGTTCAGTCAACTGTAGCTTAGCATTATACAGGAACTCAGCCTTCTTCGAGGCAAGGTGGGGCTCATAAACAGGCCCACAGGAAACCAGGAATTTCTGATTAGTAATTTATGGCAGAAAGTTAAAAAGCCATTACAAAAGATGAGAGTTATTCCCGTGTTTCCAACGGGAATCTTGTTTCGAAGCGTCTACTGCTGTTCTTCCCGGTCTGAACAAGACTAGAGGTTGTCGTCCCTTTGGGACCGTGGGAGGGGGGGGGGCATTTTTATCCGATTCCGTTTCGGTTAACAGCCAGATCTGCAAAACGGATCTTTTTCTTCTGTCCGCTGTAACAATCCAGAAGGTAAAAGTTACTGCTCCTTCTGTTTTTTGTTTTTTTTTTAAACTCTTAGTTAAGAAGTGGCAAGTTTGAGGTGCCGCTCGTTTATTTAGAAACCGAGAGAGAGAGGACAAACCCTGGCCAATTTAATGCAAAAGAAAATCAGACTCGGCCTTGGCTAATTGGCTCTGCCGCTGGAAGCCTTTATCCCGCCTGCCCTTCAGTCCGCGGACTCCGCTTCGGGCCAAGCTCACCCCAGGTTTCCTAAGATACCAGGTCACGAGACAACCAAACGCTGTTGACAAAACCTACGCAATACATTTACTGGAACTGCCGCTTCTCCACCAGCCGCACCCAACTTGGCCCTCGGGCGGTCAGAGAGCTTTGCCCTGCCTTCCTCTCCTCCTTCTCACCCTCCCCCTGCACCTCCACTTTGCAGACCGCTATAAGAGCTGCCGCGCCCGCCTCCGCCTTCTCGACGTTTCACTCGGTCTGCTGAGGCCAAGGCGTTGGCTTTGGGCTCAGCTGCTCGCGCCGGTTTCTGTCTCCTGTTCGCCTGGCAGCTCCTGCGCGACCCCGGCCATGATTGTGGATAACAGTCGTGACGCGGGGTTAGATGGCGATTCTGGCTCTCTGAGCAGCCCGTTCAATTTGGCCTTTTTCTATGGAGCCTCCCCTCGCTCCAGCGAAGGCAGTTGCTCGCCCACTCCCTCCGCTCCGGGATCCCCCGGCTCTGACTCGGAGCCCTCGGCCAATGGCGGCACCGGCGGCATCTACTTGAGGAAAAGGCGCTATTCCCGGAACGCCGCGCGCCCGACTGGAGAAGGTACAGACAGACACACTTGGCGCCAGGTCCGGCGTAGCCCTTGAAATAAGTTTTGGGTGGAGCGCGTTTACTCTGGCTTTCGCAAAAGCGACGCTCGCTGCTCCGGCTGGGTTAGGCTCGTCCTCCTAAGGTTTTCGGTCGGGTTGATGGGTGACTGTCCCACCAACCAATCTCAGTGTAGCCGTTCAGTTACGTTGGACTACCGTTCCTAATCGCCTTGGGAGTCATGGGAATAGTAGTGCAACGCATCCTGACGGGTTAGGGAAGGCCGTTCATATAATGTTCTGCCCCTTTTGTCGTGGTGAGTGTGTGCGCTGGTTTGCGTCGATATGTCTGTGGAGATTGTCAGTCATCCAGGTCACGGTTGTCCCACCTTTATCAAACACTGGTTCAAGTTCGTAATTCCTGCGGAAAATATGTCTGATGGCCTTGACTAACACGATACAAGCTTCCTTTATAAGCTAGTTAAAAGTGGCCTTGGATAAGCTATTTAGTGGGATGTCCACAATGAAGGATGTCTTGTTTTTTGGGTGTTGCCTATCGCCATCTATGCAGCTGCCTGTCTAAAAGTGCCTGTTTCCCCTGTCCATGGCACATCTACCTATATATCAGTGAAGTAAGTCTACTTTGCATAATGTTTTGCCTACAAGTCTCTAAAATTATATATAAGTGAGATCATGTATTTCACTGGGTATGAACATGTTAGAAAATGGATGGATGTTCCAAATGGTTAATTTTTAAGCATCAAAATACTTAAAGTAGCTATGTAATGGATAACGCTATATATACTAAATGTTCTGGATTCCCTTTATTGGTAAGTGCATTCCAAGACTAGCTTTAGCCTCTAAAATTGCTTGGCTTCTTTCACGGAACCATTTAAATTTATGGAATTCACTCTGTCTCTTTTCTGGCTGTATGACATTTATGGCTGTTGTAAAGAGAAAATGAAAAAAAAATGTTGATATTGAGCTAAATTTGTGGATTTAAATTTGCCAGCAATTTCAGATATTCATTATCTAGTATTGGATACTATTTTAATATATTATTATATTGAAAATGAAAAATGATTTATTGGGTACTATGCCCCTCAGTGAATTTTCTGTAAATTGTTTATTGATTTACATTTGCTAAAAGTAGAGTTTGGAATATGCTTACCTATATCAGTTTTAGCATATCTTGATAATTAATTTTTACTGATGAAAGCATAAGCAGCAAGCAAATAAGATTATATGCTTTTAAAAAAAAGTTGATTGGAATTTTATTATAAAAAAGGAATTATAAATTTTGTACAATTAATAATACAGTTAGAAAAAATATATTTAAGAAATTATATTCTGACATTGGGATACAATGCCACTTTGTGAAAAGTGAAAGCTTTGCTTTCAGTGGAAATATTTCACTTTTATCTATTTGTTCTTTAGAGCCCAATATGACTAAAACTGTGCCAAATATATATAGAGAGATAGACAGCTTTTTAAACAATGCTTATCTTTCCTATTTCAAGACTAAAACTTCAAATTAGGAGAGACTGTTGCTGACGTTACTTCTAATTTTTATGCTTATGATATAAATTGTGGCATGCAACTGAGAACATTTATGGTTAATTTGTACAATGACAAATGAAATCTGATTCTACAATGTTTTTGAGCAAAGCTTTTCTTCCTTTAAAATAATTTGGGAAATAGTGAAATTTTCAATGCAGTCACAATTTTTTTAACCTTTTGTACAAGAGTTATATTAAAGTTAGTCTATTTTGTAAAGCTACAAAGATATATTAATTCCTTCACCAATTAACTTTTTTGCTGCCAATTAATTTTGCTGCTGCCATTGTCATTTGATTTTGTATTTCATATTACCTTATATTTTATGAAGTTTGCTTATTGACTGAAATATTTTATCTTACTTTGATTCTTGATTTTTTTTTTTTTTTGTGCTCTGAAATTGAATCCTTAAAGACATGTTCAGATACTTCTGGTTTTCTTTTGATGGGATGAGGGAAATTCTATTAAAACTTCTAAAGGGGAAATTATTTTTAAGTTGGGGTTGCTTTTCCTATCCAGAAATTTCAAATCTGTGGGAATTTAGTTTTTTTAAAAAAATTTAAATAATAGGTAGACTATGTAGAATATCCGATTTGTACTTTTTAAAATTAGCTCACTGCTTCTCTCTTGGGTTGATATGCATTATTCTTCCTCTTTTCACTTCTGTTTTTTATGCTTCAAAATACATTGTATTTAAAGGGTTGATGTCATTAAGAGGGTGAATAAAATATTTGCAGCTAATCTTATGGAAGAACATATTTTTGATAAGCAGTTAAACTATGGAGGGGACTTATGCAAGTAATATTGAACTCTATTTATATAAAGTTAATGCTTAATGGTTTTGAGTAGGAATTTCTCCATTCTTATTAAAATACTATGTAGGGGTTCTTCATCTTTTTTTTCTCTTTCTATTCAGTTGTGTTTATTTCTTGGAGACTTCCTACTTAAGTCCAACTCCTTGCCATTTGCTTGCAAGGTTTTTCAAAAGCTTTGTGCCTAAGGCAGGACTAGAACTCACGGCTTTCTGATTTCTCCATCTTTGCAATACTACTAATTATAAATTATAAATGATTTTTTATAACATCCCCATGAAGATGGCTAAACGCATGGGTTTATCTGTCAAAACGTGTTCCAGGCTTTTATCCCTGTGTTGCTTGTATAAGCCCACTGAAAGCTCGCCCAGGCAAAGTGATGTGAATTTTGACTTTCTTGCCTTGCCTGCAGAACCCTGGAAAACTTTTTGGCGGGGGAATGGATTCTCTAAGTTGCTCATGAATCCTTTGATAATCACAACCCAATATTTTAGAATATCTGGATTTGGGAGAAAGATTTTTGGGAGGGGGGAGTTACTATTTTGATTCATCTTTAGGGGAAAAATCTAATTGAAATATTAATTAGTAATTAGTTGTTTCTTGTTTAGAATGAATTTATAAGAAGTCTCCTTTTCTTTTAAATCTTCTGTTTGTATCATGCTTTTATTTTAATTTTGTGTCTTAACAGCTGAACAACATATGGGGGGAGGAAAGCAACAGAGAGGACCTTTCCAAGGTGTTCGTGTAAAAAATTCTGTGAAAGAATTGTTGTTGCATCTTAGAAATAGCAAGCAGATGTCCACAGATTATGGAACTGAGGAATTAAAGGTCTGTGTTATATGTTTTCATAGTACTGTTCAGAATCAAAACAAGAATTTTATGTATGAATACAATACTGGCAGCAATTTTATATAGAAGATAATTAACATCTTCATTTTAATGAAATATAATAGCTTGCATGGCCTTTAAAAAACAAACATACAATTTTTAAAAATGCTTTGTCAGTGAAAGGGAATTGCAAATTATACCTAAAAATGGATCATTCTTTTTTTTTTTTAATAGGAAAATGCAAAGCATGCATTTGCTCAAGTCGCTAATTCAATATTTTTATTGGTAATTTCCACTGTTAAATAACACCCATTCTTTATTCTGTCTAAAAGTGGGAAGTGACTTAGAGTTTTAATTGAATTTAGAATAGGTAGCATTTGCAACACAATAATCTCATTCCAGATTGCAAGTATATTTTTCTTCCAGATGTTTCTATTCTTACCAAAACTGTTCAGAATTCTGTGGCATTGAATATTTCAAACTTTATTAGAATATTTTGGGATTTCTTATTCAAAGTTTTCTTTTTTCTGCATAGATGAGCTCTTTTTTCTATAGAAGGACCAGCAATTTTGAACAATATAAAAATGAGAGTTAAAACAAAGTAACAAGTATCATCTTAGCCATGTCTTAGCCTTCTATAACAGAACATTTTCAGCCTCTACGGAGTTCTGTTATCCAAAGCATTTTCTTTGTATTATTAATTCCACAAATGCACCATATTGGGCATTGCTTCAAGTGTTAGAATTAATGAATTGTACAAAATATTTAAAATAGCCTTCCATTAATTTGAAATAAATACCGTAGAATGAGAAAAATGTTTGAAGATAGTAAAATGTAATTATTGGAAAAAAACATAATTAATTTTTTTGCTTTTTCTGGAAAAAAGTTCATAAAGTATACTTATATTTCTGTAATATTCTCATGATAAAATAAAGTACTTTAATTATATAAAAGCATTTTCTTTTTCTTTTTAAATAGGCACAAGGAACATTGATGAAACATGATCCATACACAGGTACAGTTTTTTGTTTCATTTGTTCCTTGAGTTTGTCTTTAAATATTAGAAAAATGGGCTGTGCCATAGACTTATGAATTCTGCTTATTTTTCAGTAGAACTAAAAAATATATTGACTCATAATCGGAAAAGAAAAGCTCCAGACTGTCTTTCTGATGGAGTGTATTACAAACGAGCAGCTATTTTGCAACCTCAGTTCTTGGTAAGTATTTTTAATGAAGTTTTTCATGCTCATTCTCACATTGCTATACAGCTTCCAACTGTCTTCTAAGGCAAGATGCAATCAGATCAGTTTAAAATTTGTACCTCTTATCTTGCAGACACCTCCACAGACACCAACTTCCGTGGATAATAATATGGAGGATCCCCATAATAATGAGCCTAAGCAAGATAGCAGCTGTGATATGCTGCAGAATATTATCAATATTAAGCATGAATCCAGCCCAGTGTCTTTGAACACTGTACAAGTTAGCTGGCTTCACAGTATGGTCAATCCCAACTCTCCAGGGGAACACCAATATCAAGAGATGGCTGGAGCACCAGCTTTTTCAAATGTTCAAAAATACCAGGCTTTCCAAACAAGCAGCTCTTCTCCAATGCTGGAACTGTCTCAGAATTATCAATTTTCTCCTATACAACAACAACAACAACAACAACAACAGGATATGCCCCAGCATTGTATTCCATTGCTGGAATACAGGCCTCACTCTGCAGGCAGCCATTCCTCTGAATATCAACAAAACATTTTTGACAGCCAAGAACTACCATATTGTACCACAGAAAGTTTTGCTTCACTTTTAAACGATTCTGAAGGATCAGAGAACATCTCTTCTCCACTCCCTCAAGCAATTCCCGGTGGCCTCCAGCAAACTGAAGTCAGCAGCTGTTCTCAGCATTTCAACCAAGTCTCAGATAACACATCCAGGGGTCTTGAGGAACATGGTTTATCTCTGTCTTCTTCAGATATATCTCTGCAACTTCAGAGCAGTACAGGCAGCACAAGTCAGTTGGGCAAATCATTTTTCCAGTGGCAAGTGGAACAGGAAGAAAACAAAATGGCCAACATCTCTCAAGACCAGATTCTTGCTAAAGATTCTGATGGTGACACGTGAGTATTGTCCAAATATCACTTACTGCAGAAATGGAAATGGTGAATCAGCATTCTTTGTTTAGACACCTTTAGGCTGCCATTCATTTGACTGAACAAAAAGCTCTGTAGTACATTAATTATTCTGATGTCTGAAGAGAAGAGCAACAAGGATGATTAGGGGACTGGAGGCTAAAACATGAAGAAAGGTTGCAGGAATCGAGTATGTCTAGTTTAGTGAAAGGAAGGACTAGGGGTGACATGATAGCATTGTTCCAATATCTCAAGGATTGCCACAAACCCTGACCTTTTGTCTAAAGCACCTGAAGGCAGCACAAAAGCAATGGATAGCAACTAATCAAGGGGAGAGAACCAACTTAGAAATAAGGAATAATTTCCTGACAGGCAGCATAATTAAATCAATGGAACAGCTTGCCTTCAGAAGTTGTGGGTGCTTCCTTGCTGGCGAGGTTTTTAAGAAGAGATTGGGCAACCATTTGTCTGAAATGATATAAGGTCTCTAGCTTGAGCAGAGGATTGGACTAGGAGACCTCCAAGATCCCTTCCATTTGTTTTTATTCTGTTACATCTGGCACCATGACTAAATATGGTTAAAAGAAAGAATGCATTGGATGATAATACTACCCTAATAAGTCTTTGCTGTCAGTAATTTCCCTAGGGCTTTTCTCAATGGCTTTTTAGAGTGAAGCATATTTTTAAAACATCTTAAATGGATATGTTTGTCAGCTTTAAATATTGTGCTAATTTTTATTTTTTCCTACAGATTTCTCCACATTGCGGTTGCCCAGGGACGACGGGCAGTTTCCTATGTGCTGGCAAGGAAGATGGCAGCCCTGCATATGTTGGATATTAAAGAACACAATGGCCAGGTGATTCTCTTAGCCTAGCAAATTCCTACCTTATGTCCATGATTATTTCCTTTATTTTCTTACCAAGTCCTATTTAGATTGTCTTTTAATATGAAATTGGAAAGTTAGTGTGCAATGTATTTGTTTCAGAATTATTTGCTAAATCAGACCAAGCTGATTTCATTAAGGAGGGGTTCTCTGAAATGGTTTTACTTCATTGAAAAGGCTTTTATGTGGTTTGTTTTCTTAATTTCCATTCCTTGTTAAGATTAAAGTGTCTAATGCATCTGCTTTTTGTTATTCTAGAGTGCCCTGCAAGTAGCTGTGGCTGCAAATCAACACCTTATTGTCCAGGATCTGGTCAGCCTTGGGGCACAAGTGAATACTACGGATTGCTGGGGTAGAACTCCACTGCATGTATGTGCTGAGAAGGGACATGCACAAGTCCTTCAGGTGGGATATTAAAAGCTGAACCATTGCATTTACCCTTTTCTTTTTATTAGCATGTATAATATACCTCAACACCTCTAATTGTACATTAAGGATTTAATATAGTATATTTTCAGTTAAGTTTATTTACATTATTCAGAAGTATACTTTTAACTGAACTTTACCATCTAGTTTGATCCTAATTGCTCAGGAGTTTGAAGTCTATAATGTATTATAATACATTATAGTATAAGTTATAATATATAACTTATATAACATAATATATAACATTATGGTATACATTATAATATATAATGTATTATAATACATTATAGTATAAGTATAACCTTTCCAACCCCATGTTAAAACACAAGAAAAAATAATTTTGCATTTTCTTCCTTTCCTGCAAATGGAGTCTGACTGAATGATAATGCAATGTGGCTCCCATAAAAATTCTGTTCTCCATTTCTAACCTCCTTCTGCTACACACAATAAAAAAGAGGAAACAAGAACATTGCAGCAATTGTCTCTGCAATTCTGAGGAGATATTTGATTATTTTATAATTGTTTGTTTCAAGTGATAGTCAGTTTTTTTGTTCTTGTGAATTGTAATTCTAATGCACTGAAGGACAATGGACCACAAATAGAAATTGTCTAGTTTGAAAGTGCTGTTTTCTGTTGACATGTGTAATGACATAAACTTTTCTGGATTATATATATTTGATCTCATGCCTTCAGATTTCAGTTACTATTACATATATAGTTAATGTAGGTTCTTGTTTCATTTTCAGGCAATCCAAAAAGGAGCCATTGTAAGCAATCAATATGTTGATTTGGAAGGAACGAATTATGAGGGTGAGCAACTAATACTCCTACATTATGTGTTAAGTGGATAAACTACCCAATTAAAAACGTTCAGGTTTTAGTGCTGATGCTCAAGACTTGTACTTGGCATGTTGTATAACACGTTTACTCTTGCTAATGCCATTCACTTTTAAATAAAATAAATTATGGAAATAGCTTCAAATGTAATCCCATACTAAATCACTTCTACCTTGTCTAATGCATTGTTAATTCATTGAGCTTAATAATGCTGGGTTGATAATGCTATATTAAGCTAAATAAGCTGGTTAAATAATATCTGTAGAAGAGGCGCATGTATTTTGGAAATTGAATTTTACATATTTGGAGATTATCCAAGTTGGGAAAGACTGATGGAGAGATTGTAAAAAAAGGCATATCACTGTCAGGGTTAAATAACAAAAACAGAAATAGCATTCAAAAATTTATTTAACTTATTTTTTCTTTGAACTTAAACCTATAATTTTTCACTTCCATCTAGATATAGAGTATAACTATATTTTTAATTACAGTTCTGTTCATAGACAAACTTATCAAATAATGTGAAGTTAAATGAATAAAAATACATGCGTTTCTTTAATTGCCAGTTACTAATTCTATCTCTATTGCATGTCACTAACTTTAAAGCAGTGGTGGCTAACCTTTTTGGGCTCCTGTGCCAAAAATTGTGTGCCTGCTTGCACACTCGCGCTTGCATGCCAGCACCCAGAATGCAATGCGTGCCCCCTACGCATGTGTGCACAATCCCTGCCCATCTACCCACCACCCCCTTACCTGCACTGTGCCTCAGCTGATTTTTGGTTGGGTTGAGGTTTTTTTCGGCCTCCCAGATGCTCCACGAAGGCTTCTGCAGGCTTCTGCAGGCTGAAAACTAGACCCATTTCATTACTTCTGGTATTTCCGGAAAAACAGGAAGTGATGAAACGGGCCTAGTTTTCGGCCTGAAAAGCCTGCAGAAGCCTTCCTTCCTCTGGGAGGCCGAGAAAGCCCCCAAACTGGCTGAAAATCAGTGTGAGGCACGTGCATGTGCAGTGAGGTAAGTTTGCCTGCAGCTTGCGTGCTGACACAAATGGCTCGTGCCACAGGTTTCGCCATCACAGCTCTAGAGCATAGATTAAAATTCCTTTAAAGTTAATGCATTGCAAACAAAATGAAAATGAAATTTAGATATTCCTATTGGAATGACTATTGTTTTTTAATACATTATTGATCAGAACAAGGTGATTTGGGTTTTTGTTTTGCTAACTGATATGTTTCATATTAAGGTTTGACAGCGTTGCACTGTGCAGTAGTGGTTCATAATGCCGTGGTACATGAACTACAAGGACAGCAGTCACCTCATACTCCTGAAGTCCAGGAATTAAGGTTGAAAAGCAAGAAGTTGGCAGATACAATCAAATATCTAATTCAGATGGGGGCCTCGGTTGAAGCCAGAGTAAGTCACATAAGGAAACAGACAGATGTTTACCTGAGAAATGATTCCCATACTGTTGTTTTGCATCTGTTTGAAGGTACAGATGTTTTGAAGAATGTGCCATGTGATGTGATAGGCACAGAATATTAATTCTTTATATTTGAGAGTTCAGTTGACATTTTATGTTCCTGGGTAGATATTCTGTACATTTTTAAATGTATATTATTGCACATAAAGTGACCAGTATTAATCCAAAAGAATAGCTTATATTTTTACATTAGTGAAATCATACACTGATTTTAAAATTCAGTTTGCTTTTTCTCCTCTAGCACATTAGCATGTAAAAAGAAAAAAAAGTCTCAGTATTCATAAATCAGATTACTATTCAAGCTTGTAATGCAGCAATACTGAATAATAGGTAAAGTACATGAATGAGTTAATGGTTGACTAATATTGCAGGTATCATATTATACCTACAAATATTTATTTCTATTTCTGAAACAAATAATGATCATAAAAAATACCCTCCTAACTCCTTAACTCCTATATAATTTCTTCTCTAGCACTTAGACAATAGCACTTAGATTTATACACTGCTTCACAGTGCTTTACAGAACTCTCTAAGAAGTTTACAGAGTCAGCCTATTGCCCCTAATAATATGGATCCTCATTTTTACTGAACTGGGAAGGATGGAAGGCTGAGTCAACCTTGAGTCGGCCAGGATCGAACTCCTGGCAGTGAGCAGAATTTAGCCTGTAATACACTGTGCCATCGGGGCTCATATGGTTTAATCATTAGGTTCATCTTCAGTCAGTAACATTTCAAAGATAATGCCACTATTTAAGGACCAAGAAACGGTTCCTCAAAGTATGCTTTATGATTTCATTTATAGTGACTACTTGTGTATGTTCTTACATTTTACAGTGACTAAATGTGCAGTGTGTAATATTATTTGGATATTTTCTTTTGTGTATGAACAGGACCGTAAAAGTGGCCGTTCAGCCCTTCACCTAGCAGCTGAAGAAGCAAATGTGGAACTCCTTCGACTGTTTTTAGAGCTTCCAAATTGTCTGTCCTTCATCAATGCCAAGGTATATAAACAACAAATCATGTGTCTAGTTTAGGGTATTCCTATTTGCAGAAATAATTCACCTGCTTCTCGTGTCCTTTTAAATAATGATGTTTCTCTCTTGTAACTAGGCGTACAATGGCAATACTGCACTCCATGTAGCTGCTAGTTTGCAGCATCGAATGACTCAACTTGATGCAGTTCGTTTGTTGATGCGCAAAGGAGCTGATCCAAGTGCCAGGAACTTAGAAAATGAACAGCCAGTTCACTTGGTTCCTGATAGCCCTGTTGGAGTTGAGGTAAGAGATGAAAAGATACGCAAAATCTTTTTGTTTATGCCATTAAATGGGTAGTTTGTATCATCAGGGGAAAGCTATTTCAAATTACACAGCATGTATAAATCAATGAGCTGCACTATTTAAAAGGAAATAGATGCTCCTCATCATGCACCTGGAAAGTATAAATTAGGTACATATGTATGTCAACCCTTTCTGTTCTTTATGGATAGTTCTCTTGGAAATTAAGATCTGATGTGTTACAGAAGCCATTCAGTGAGCAATTCAATAAGCAGTCTGTTGATGTTATCTTCAGGTTAATATAATACAGGGTAGTCCTTGTTTAGCAACTACAATTGGGACTAGCAACTAGGTCATTAAGCCAAGAGGTTGCTAAGTGAAACTACAATTGTGCTCATGATTTTGTAGTTAGTCCTCAGGTTATACTATCAAATGGGGCCAGAATTCGTTACTAAGCAACGTAGTCATAAACGCACTGCATACTGCATACTGTCAGGTTTAAATAATGTTGTATTAACTGCTGTTAAATAATTGGCCTTTTCCCCTTCTATTTCCTCTTTCTCAGATAAGACGAATCTTAAAAGGCAAGACAAGTCAGCAGAGATCATCAGTCTATTAAGCTCCATGAGTAAAAATGACCCATACTCGCTGTCAGTTAGGCAGCCCCCATGTAACTGTAAATAGACCATTTGTCCAGTGGAGGCAAATGTTTGTTGTTTCTATGAAACAAGAATATTTTGTTCACTATTATATAGTGGGTTAATAACAGTTCTTCTTCACAGATGAGAATACTTCATACAAAGCATTCTGTAATCATTTGAATTACTCCATTAAGCAAATTAACATATCAAGAACAAAACTGACAGTTATAGTCTTTCATATTTCTACCCAAAAGCAATTTCAGTGTGCTGTATTGTTTATTGGATTATCTGACAAGTACCTGACAAGCTGGCTGGTGGGAGGCGCGCACGTATGCACAGTGGACCTGATCTAGGGCGATGGCTTACGTGCTGGCAGAGATGGCTCTGCATGCCACTTCCAGCATGCATGCCAAAGGTTCGCCATCACGGATATAGAATATAAGTATTCTTAAGAATAGCAAAAATTTACTAATAGTCATTTATATTTTAACTTTTTTCTTTTTATGTAATTCTTTATAGTTATTTTGAGTAGTTATGGTTAATTAAATGTAATGAAAGTTTTAATAATTTAAACCTTTTACAATGGGATATTCTATGTAGAATTCAGTAAAGTTTTTAAAAAGTTTTTAATTGTTAAGTTGTTTTTGGGAAACACTTTTCAAAACAATTTATAAAGAAACATTGTCGATATGGTATTTTCATTGATTACAGCAATCATTTATTAAGATTTTAAAAAATAAAGCTGGCCTTGTGTTCATTCTTTTTCAAATTAATTTTTTCCAATTAATATTTCCTGATGGTAACTGAGTTTATAAATTACATAAAATTATTCATGTTTGTAACAAAAAATAAAGAATTCAATTAGAATAAATAAGCAGTAATATGACACAGATTCAATTAGAGTTTAAAAATGAACTCTGTTTGATCAAAATGATGCTGATTATATGTCATATATATCCTTTTTGTCATTTGTAAAAAAAATTCTAACAATCAAATAAATTAGGATTACCTGTTATATTCTAATAGCAATACTTTTAAAAACAATACTTTATTTTCATTATGTAGCAACATGCAACAATTCGTTATTTGCACTGTAGATACTGATGGCCACTGGCTTTTATGACTTTGTAGATGACAGAATTGTCAGTAGCTATTGAGCATGATACCTCTTATCATCCTCAAGAAGAATTGAAGAGGAATATGAATTTCAAGATTCAGTATAATTTGGAATACTGGTTGTTTTAAAAGTTGTTATATATCTTTTGCATATGATAGGAGTGCCAAAACTGATTTTTGTGACTTTGTGGTCCCAAAGATTTCAGTTCTGATGTTTCTAAAAGACAAGCTATTTCACCATTTAAAAACCCAAAACATCATGAAATCCATCTACTCTGAATCTGGAGAGTAGTCAATACACCACATAAAGAGTGGTGTCATCCTCAGATTGATAGAAGTCACATATCCCTAGTTTATGATAATCACAAAGGCATTTGGCTAATGATAGAAAATTGAATTGATGTTTGGTCTGAGTAGGAATCTTCTACACTGACTTTGATTCTCTCATTTTGAATCAATAGATGTATGTCTCAGGGCTTTGCAAAAAATAATTGCATTATATTGTTTTACCTTATAGGTATAGTAGGTAGCCAGATGTTAATATATCAAAGAATGTAAATAAAACATATTAAAATATTTCATTGTATTAAATACTTTCAGAATTGCATTGTTTTTTAAAAATTATGTACATACTGTTCTTGAATCACTACCCTGAATCATGAATTTTCCATAATTAATCAGATCATATTGTTTGATCAAGTATGTCTTGTAGACAAATAATAGGGAAATTTATATTTGATATTTAGAAGTACAAATATATCTTTTGAAATAAACTTGTTTTAATCAATATGGGTGGTCTGGTATACTTTGACTGATATTAATGCTTCTGTAAGAGTTAAGACTTTTGACATTGTTTTTTCTTATTGCAGTTGAAGTAAGAAATACAACGATGAGATTCTTAGATAAGATTCTGGCTCTCTTCCTTGCTTTCTCTTTAAAACCAATGTTGCCTTTCAAACTGTAAAAGCACAATTTTAAAACACAATGAATCAAAAGTTTTTAAATTTGCATACGTCATGGGTCATGTAATTGGATTATTTCTTTCCATAAAGTTGTTGAAGATTTTATTTATTTATTTAGAAAATTTATATGGCCTTCCAACCCACAGTGACATTGGGTGGCTTGAACTAAAATCTCAATACAAAATAAATACTGCCCCACTCTGCCCTCCCGACGACAACAGTCAAACCAATCTCGATTGGATCTGTATTATTTGGGGTCCCCAGGCCCATTGGCATGTCTTTGGGGCTTTTTGAAACAGTATCAAAGTGGGCCCAATCTTATTTCCACAGGGATGATGTTCAACAGTAAGGGAATCACCAAGGAGAAGGCCCCTTTTGGTCCCACCAGATAGACCTCCTTAACAGAGAGGACCCATAAAAATCCTGCCTCCTGCTCTGGTAGGTTTGCCAGTTATATTTGGAAAAAGACACCTTCAAAAAATTTGGCTCCAGGCTATATAGGGCTTTAAAGGTGATAATCAGCACCTTGAATAGGACCAAGAAGCAAATTGGCAGCCAATGCATTTCCCACAAGAGAGGTGACACACAAACCTACACTTTTGTCACCATTTGAACCAATTGAAGTTTCCAGATACTTTTAAAAGGTAGCCCCATAGAGACCATATTGCAGTTATCAAGATGCGAGGTGAATAGGCATGGATGAGTGAACAGGAACTGTTGGTCCAGGAAAGGGTGTAATTGACACACAATCTTCAGTTGCACAAAGGCCCTTCCAGCCATGCTACATGCTCCCAGGTTACGCACTGGATCTGTTTGGGGCAGTGCAATTCTGCATGGACCAAAGAGCCCCAAACTCAGAGCCATTGCATCTTACCAAGGTTCACGTTTTAGTCTGTTGCTCTCTATCCAGTCCTTAAGAGCCTCCAGGCACTGTGGAGGGAGTTTGTGGCATTGCTTAACTCACCTTAGGCTCAGACATAGTTGGATGTCATAAGTATCAATAAAGGAGAATATTTGTAGATCAAATCCATGCCATTATTTTCAACTGTGATACTGAGAGGAAGTAAAGGGATTTTAAACAAAGAGGTCAGGTCTCTATATGGTGAGAAAGGAGGGCAGAGTGGGGCAGTATTTATTTTGTATTGAGATTTTAGTTCTGCAAGCCACCCAATGTCACTGGGTTGGAAGGCCATATACATTTTCTAAATAAATAAACATTTAGGCAAGTAAAACCAAATGCACAGTTGTGGAATAGTAGGAACCTGCCTCAATAGTAGTAACTGTTAGAGGGATCTTAGAGTCTAGTGGACAATCACTTAAATATGAGGCAGCAGTGTGCTGCAGCTGCCAAAAAAATCAATGCAATCCTATGCTGCATTAACAGAGGGATAGAATCAACACCACACAAAGTGTTAATACCATTTTATAATGCCTTGATAAAACTTCAAATGGAATATTGCATTGAGTTTTGGTCACCACAATATAAAAAATGTTGAGACTAGAAAGGGCAGAAAAGAGCAAGTTGACTAGGGGACCGGAGGCTAAAACATGAATGATTGCAGGATTGGGTATATCTATTTGATATAAAAAAGACTAGGGTTAGGGTTAGGGTGATAGTCTTCCAGTATTTAAAGGGCTGCCACAAAGAAGAAGGGTTCAACCTATTCCCCAAAGCAGGGGTCCCCAACCCCCAGGCTGTGGCCTACTACCAGGAATCATTTAGAACTGGGCTGTGAAAGTAGTAGGTGACTGTGCTCATGAGTGTGCATCCCCACTTGTGCAGGCAGCAGGTGAGCACTTGCACACATGCTCCATTTGTGCGAGCCCTACACTTGCACAAATGAAGTTGTGTGGCATGTGTGTTTCCCCGCCAGTCATGCAGAATCATCTCTTCTTTTTCCTGTCAGTCCACAAAGCCAGAAAGATTGGGGAACTCTATTCCAGAGTTGGACTTCATGGCTTAAATACCCTTTTCATCAGATCATCTGACATAATCTGCTTCAATGAGTAATGAGTCTTGGGGGTTGAGGTCAAACAAGTCATGTAAACTGCAACATGGAAAAATAAGCTGTTCAATTAGCTTAGAAGGAATTGATTTAGTCCCAACGAGGTCTGGTTTTCCCTAGTCAGACAGCTACTTATTAAGAAGTGATTTGATTCTTCTCACTCTCCTGTTTGAGTTTCATTCCATATTGCCTTACAGTTTCTGAAACATCAGGTAGCAAGATAATATGACTAGCTCCAGGAGCAATTTAACAAGCACCTCACTCTGTCCAAATAATCACATATTTTTTCTCTCTGGAATCCAGATGCAATCAAGAAAGAAGCAGAGTGAGGTGATTGCTGGAATGCTGATTTTTCAGTTTCATTTATGGTCAGCTGAATCCCCTTTCTCATCTATCCTAGTTCCACAGAAAACTAATGAGGATACACATGCATTTGTGCATAACTGCAGTAACAGATAAGAGAGAGAGACAGATGTGTGATAATGTCCCAAGGATGCATTTTAGGAAAACATTGTCTTATCAGTAATTTTCACACCTCATATTTTAAAAGGGTGTAAAGATGCCCTTGGCATTAACTCTACAACATAACACTTCCAATGGACAAAAAATATATTCAAAAAGAAGTGAGTTGAAAAGATAGTGATAGTTTCCTCATTTCCCATGAAATTTATCTTGCTTTCAGTAAAGATATTGATAGGAATCCACAGTATATTCTTACTGACAAGCTGTTAAAAACAACCAATAGAATTGCCAAAGAACTTCCAAAAAAACCATGGACATTTTACAATGAATATTCTATCAACTCTTACTACAGAAAATCAAAGATCTAAAAATAGAAGAAGGTAAAAGTATGGTTTCATTCAATGTCACAGAACAAAACTACCAAAAGAATCCATGTGTAGGAGAACAGGCAGTTAAATAGTCATCAGTTTAGAGTCCTTGTGTTCTCACAAGCGCTCCAAGTCCACCTGAATTCTGTTGACCTTTATCTGGCACCAATTTAGTGTTCATTGTAGAAGATGACCAAGCTGAGCCCGAGGAAGAGGTCAAAGAGTCCTTTGTGCCCACAAGAGATCTAAGATCAGCCCACCTTGAATTCCATTGATTCTTATCTACTGCCAATTTGCATTGATTTTAGTTCTGATTCTTGTAGAGAAAATAAGATTGCAATAAACCATTATATTCATTTGAACTATCTGGATTTTTGATTTCCAATGCTTGAAATTGAACTTTAATTGATCATATTCTTGTGTATAGGCTTGAATAAATCTTCTATGCTGCAACCCTATGAATGGTCCTGATTCTTTGTGCCTGATATGGTGGCAGCAGAAGTACACAACACATCCAACCTAGTCAAATAAACTAAAATGAAAATAGAATTATGCACCTCATCAACTTCTGCCTCACTACTTATTTTCAGTTTGATGTACAAATGTAGCAACAAATCATAGGAACATTGATGGAATCACCACAGGGTTGGACTAAATGACACATCCAGTCTCTTTGCAACTCTACAACTTTAAGCCTCTATGATTCTTTGTTGTTAAAAACTAAAACAATTGCCACCAGTAACAAAGCATTCGTTGTGTACTGCTGCCGTAGTAAGGTAAGTCTAGATTTTTATATTGTGTGAACATAGACTCTGATTCTCTGATTCTTTGATACTATTTATTTTATATTTACTCTTTAGCATGTGCTAAAACTCCCACATTTGGTTGTGGGTTGCATGTTCCTTAAAAAATGATGGAATCCTTTTTTTAGTTAATAAAAAGAAATAATCACAGGTTGGAAATAAATACTTGCACGTATTTTCTGAATAGTTAAATTATTTTATTTCTTTCTTTTTTTCAGTCCCCAGTTAATTCACTGTGCAAATCATGTATTACTCTAGTAGTGTGCATAATGAGTATCAAATATTTCTATCCTTAAACAAGACTCTTCTCAATCCTTGTTGCTCATAAAAGATATCTAACTGCCACTCAAGGTAATGGACTTTGAGTTATAAACTGGAAATTATTGCTGCATGACTCAATCCCTTATTCTGAATCCAGACTATCCACTTTCAAACTAGAATATATATTGTCACATTTTTCTTCTAGAATTCTTTAAATGATGTCCTGTCCTACTATACTGCATGCCTGTACTACATATTGTCTAACTGCATGCCACTGAATAATCTGCACAGGGGTTTCATGTAGATATTAAAAAGGAGGGACCCATATATCTTAGTTAGAAAAAGTTGTTTCACATGAATGTCCAAAGTAACAGTTGGAAGGAATGCTTAACTTCCAGCATACCACTTTCCTTTTAAATTTAGTTTGAAACTAAAATTGTCTTTTTAAAATACAAGTAGAATAGAGGCACCACAGGAGTTATTGTGTTATTTGGAAATCACAGTTGTAGAATGATACCTAGCAGCCTACAAGGAAGCTGATCTTGGGACAGATAATGTAGGCTTAACTTAGTTCATGTAGTCAACCCTGTAAAAAACTAATTGGAAAGTGAAGAGGTAAATGAGAGCACATATTGAAAAAGTGACTGAGTGGGAAGACAAATAGCAACAGGGGATTTGTGAGAGAGTCTAGTAGAGGAGATAAGGCAGAGAAGCCCATTGACCTCTTTTCAGAGAGTAAGGGTCAAAGTGAGTTTAGCAGTTGTGAAAGAAAGCCAGGGCTCCAAACTCTGTAAAAGTATAATAGTTAAACTATATTTTACATCAAATAGCTCTTAAAGAATAATGCCTAATTATTCATATTGAAAAGCCAACAGGGGAGAGGATCAGAGGTGGACCAGTTCTGGAGAACTGGTAGC